AAGAATTATTCAATAAAATGCTGTGAAATGTAGATCCCACTCATTATAGCAATTAAAATGATAAAACAGGGTAATAAAATGTTTAATGAAACTCTATGAAAGTGTATATGTGATCTGAAAATTGAGAGATTTACATAGTATTGCATGGGAGAATAGATGAAACTACTAACTTTTCACAACATAATAAAAATTTCCAGCAAAATTTGTTATTGAATTTGATGGTTCTAAAATTTATGCACAAATGAAAATGTGGGAAAAGAATACAGAAAATTTTGAACAGAAGAGTGGTTTATTGAGTCAACGGTCTGGAGTAACGATTTAGTATGTGCAGGAATTAAATAAAAGATCAATGGAACAGAATAAATCATCTAGAAAGAAACACATACTTAGATGGTAGTTGTATATATGATGAAGGTGTTATCTCACATAACTGAGTTAAGGTTGAACATGTTAACAAGTGGGTTTAGAAAATAGATCATGTATCTAGAAGTTTTTTAAGTTAGATTTCTTTCTTTTTTTTTTTTAATTTTTAATGTTTATTTGGGGGGAGGGGGCAGAGATAAAGGGAGACACAGAATCTGAAGCAGGCTCCAGGCTCTGCACTGTCAGCACAGAGTCTGATGTGGGGCTTGAACTCACAAACTGTGAGATCATCACCTGAGCTGAAGTGGGATGCTTAACCGACTGAGCCACCCAGGCACCCCAAAAAGCTAGATTTCTATCTCACACAAAGTAATTTCCAGGTGACTTCAAGAGCTAAATAAATGCAAAACAACAAAAACCCCAGAAAATATAGAATAGTTAACTTTATAATTTAGAGATGGGAAGACCTCAAACATCTACAGTTGAAAATACTGAGAGAGTAAACCAGGTAAAACAAAAATTTCAGTAGGCAAAACACCATGGACAAATTGCCAAGGTTAGCAAAAGACCGGGAGAAAAATGCATATAAGGAGTTCTTAGTAATTAATTGGAAAAGCCAAGTAATTCAACAGGGAAATAGAAACAGGCAATTCAAAGAAACACAAATGGCTAAAAAACATAAGAAAAAAGTCACCGTTATTCTGTCTCCTTAGTAATCAGGAAAGTCATAATTAGCACGAGGTATCTTTGCTGCTCATCACTCATATTGGTAAAATGTGTAATGTCCAGGGTGCTGAGGATGGAAGTCTGCAGAGTTTTATTTAAGGTGTTGGCGGGTCTTCAGTTAGCTTACTCTTCATTAGGGCAACTTGACTGTGTCTCATTAAAATGTAAAATGCACATGTTGTATCATGGAAAACAACCCATTTCACAGAGATTTTAGCACTCTGCACGCGTTTTGGGGGGAGGAGTAATGTTGCAGAAGAGATCCACGTCACTAGGAACAACCTAGTGAAACATGTTTCTGGCTGGGGCCCATAAACCACGTTCACAAATATAGTTTTCAAGGTTTTATTACATCACATGGTTGGTTACAGGCATTTCAAAGTACTTGAAACTAGTACTGTGGCCCGACTCAAAGACTACCTTGCAAAGAAAAAGAATAAGGCCTTGGCTAGATTGTCTTACATTTTGTGGTTACTATTTTGGGCTGCATGAAGTCTTTTTGCCAAAGAAAGAACTGGCTGGCTTTTAGAGAGCTTCATCTACTTTCAGCTAAGTGTCCATTTGAAATAACATTAAAATATTTATAATTTTGGCTATATTTAATTCATTTCTCTCCACATTTTCTAATCCAGCAATTCCATCTCCAAGTATGTCATTCAGAGAAATACCCCATGCGAAGAGACATGTGGAAGAATGTCAATTGTAGCACTGTTTTTAGTAGCGAAAAATTGGAAACGACAAATTACTTAGGAAATGGCTAAACTAACCATATGTGCATATTAATGAATTCTATATAGCATTTAGAAAGACTGATATATATATCGGTATACACCTACATATGTATGTAGGTATACTAATAAGGAAACTTCTCCAAGGCACATGGCTTAAAGAAAAAGGCAAGTTAAACATGTAACATACAATCCCACTTTCATGAAAAACAAACAAAATAAAATCTTAATGGAAATGTGTGTGGAAAAATACTTATTGGAAAAGACCAGAAATTACACATCAAACAGCTAACAAAAGTTACTCCCGTAGCAAGGCAGGGCCGGGGCTTCCACTTACTGGTTTCCTTTTTGTTTGTTTTGAGAAGTGTTTTCACAAAGGAAATAGTCACGTATTTTAGCAAAAAAGGTAAGTTTTGAAAAATGCTGTTTACATTTACTGATTGTGTAGGTACAGAATGCTTATTAGTAATGCTTGAAGTTTGTATATATTAGATGTGGTCTGTGACCATATGCCAACAATAAATAAATAATTGAGAGTGTTTGTTTACCTAAATAATTCAAATTTAAGTTCTGGGTTTGAGTTAAAAAAGAATAGTTGTTTTCATTTGGATATACAGCAGCACAGTGGCACAGTCTAAGAATCCATTTTTAAAAAGACTACTCCAATTAGAAAATTTAGTAAGTTTCATTACGGAAATTCCCAGAGGCAATCTCTGGCATTTAGTGATTAGAAAAGTAACAAGAAAGTATTACTTACAGAGTCAATCAATAGAAAAGTGAATTTCCGTAATATAAAATAATCCTCATGTGAAGCAAAAAGACATGGAGTTAATTAGAGGAGGTGTGTTGTATAAATGTTTTCCGAACTGGACAGTATAAGAGCATATGGTGGGCGGGGAGCCCCGGTGGCTCAGTTGGCGGAGCTGTTGGACTTCGGCTCGGGTCACGATCTCGAGGTTTGTGAGTTCCAGCCCTGCATCGGCCTTGTGGCTGTAAGTGGGAGCCCGTTTCTGATCTTCTGTCCCCCCCTCTCTCTGCCCCTCCTCTGCTTATGCTCTCTCTCTCAAAAATAAATAAAACATTAAAAAGAAGGAAAATATGGTGTGATAATCATCACGAAGAAAACAGAAAATACAGTGAGACTTTCTTCATGTCTCGTAAAACTCACGAGTCATAGTAAGATACATCAATGATTTCGCAAAGTTTAGTAGGATCATTTCTCCTTTTTGTTCTCCGTGACCATCTATACAGCGCTAATACTGTTCTGTATACTTAAAATTTGCTGAGAGAGTAGATCTTCTGTGTTCTCCTACACATACAAAGGTAACTATGTGAGGTGATAAATATGTTAATTAACTTGACGGTGGAAATCATTTCGTAATCTATACAGATGGCAAATCATCGTGTTGTGTATCTTAAATACATACAATTTTATTTATCAATCATATCTCAATGAAGCCAGAAAAAAATGGTCAAGTCATGGAACAGAAGTACCAGAGAGTATATATACTGCACGGGGTACAGAAAATGGCTTCAATGAACTGCCTGAGATGCCAGGTGTCCAGTGCGGTTTTCAGGGCCAGTCCTGTAACTTTTTACCAAGGTTTTCCTTATGCTGGTGCTCTAATGAAAAAGGCCCTTTAGAGTCAGTGTAATCATAAGCTGGAGCAGAAAGGAATTAAAGTACAAGTGATACTAAGAATTATACAAAGTTCACTGAAGTGATGTGTATACCATCATCGAACAGTCTCCTCCCACGTCTCTTGATGTTTTTCTCCTGTGACGGGAACATCCGTGGCGATTCTCTCTGTTGCTCGCTGGACAAGGCCGCCAGGCTAAGGGGGGGTTCAGTGGTGAACAGCGTGAGAACAGATACATACTTTTGTAGTGCTGTTCTATCAACGAAACTCCGATACTTGGGGTTTTTGCAACATTTAAAGCAGCTCAGGTAGAAAAAAAAAGTTCAAACCAGTCACCAGATCCAAAATTAGCATTTTATTCAGAACGCTGGGGTCAGAGGTGTGTCATTTATATTCTGGTACACAATACAGAGGCAAAGCTGCTGTCAGAAGTCTCTCCAGTTTAAAAGCTTGGTTTTTTTTTTTTTCATTTTTTTTTTAAAAACACACACTTAGTAGTGCCTCCAGTGTCAGGCCACCCCTTTCTTTTCTTTTCTTTCCTTTTTTTTTTTTTTTTTTTTTTGGTACAAATTATGTAAAACATTTGTGCTAAGAACTTTTCTCCCTCCCCAAACAAAAAAGAAAATAAAAAATAAAAAAAAATTAAAAAATTAAAAATTGAGTATTCTAACTACAGCTCAACAATTGAATCAAATGTCACTTTGTCTTGTAAATACTTTATCCATAACGAAAGATATAAACATGCAAAAAACCTGAATCCATAGTCCAAATAATACATACACATGTTCTGAAGTTTCTGTACTTCTCCATAGACTATGCCAATAAAACATTATGTACACATACCATTTTTACAGTGAAGTGGAAAAAATACAGTAAATAAAAAAAGTGTACATGGATTAAGACCAAAATGTATCTAACATTCTAGTTTATGAAAAAATTCAATTTTGCTACAAATTGGTGATATGAAAACTCCCTTTATTTGCAACCAGCTGCGTAAGTTTTAAGATTTTAGTGAAAAAAAAATCTAAAGTCTAAAACTAGAAGTAATGTACATTTTCCAATCTCATGGTCTCATCCCCCAAGATAATAAAATCGCTCCATGAGTTTTTGTTTTGTGTTTGTTTAATTCTGTGTTTTAATAAAAGCAAATGCAATGTAACAAAAGCGTATTGAAGCATATCATGGTTTAACTTACTGCTCCCACCACAAAATATTTTGTCTTTTACTTATCGTTTCAGAAATCAGTACCATTAAAGCCTTAAACATAAAACTAATTCCAATCTGAAAAAGGTACAAAAAGGCACATAAAATCCCAGTGCTTCTGTACTGTAAAATTCAAGTGTAACTGAGCTCAGTGTTTTTCCAAACAGTATTGGATCACTGATATTCCCTCTGAGCCCAAATTGGTTTGCAGCCTATGCCAAAGCCTCCAGCAAGCACTGTGCTAGTAGACTACAAAGTTAAAGCCTAGCTTCTGAATGCTTTTTGGGAATATCAGTTGAAATTGTTTGTACTTGTCCAAAAACCAAGTTCACCCTGAAGTTCAGTCATCACCTCCACCGTACATGTCAGCAAGTTTCTTGAAGCGTGGCCCCCAGTCGTTCAGGTAGTCATAGTCCTGCTCGCCACCACTACTTGAGGAATTAAGAGAGCTCAAGGACCCAGCGGTGGAGCCGCTGCCTTCATAGTCAAAGACTAAGAGGGAGTCGTATGGCGGAGCGGTGGGATCATTGTCAGCAGCTTTAAGGCCCTACGATTTGGAAAGACAAAGAAAGAACACAGAGAGGGTTACGATGTGCAAACCACAAGCAGATCCTAGGGGTCCCATGGAATCAAACACTTGTTTGTAAGTTTCCACCTGCAGACCACAACATTTTCTACCTACAGAAATTGGGGTTATCACCACGTTTGGAAGTTAGACAAAAATACAACTTTCCTCTGCAGGAAAGACCCCTAGGACGTCTAGCTCAGTTAGGCCAAGACGTACAATGGAAGGGGAGTTAATTGGAGAATGTGTTTGGCAGGTGGCAGAAATGAATGGCCAACTGCTAGAGGTTGAGAAGGATCTCAGATGAAGTCCGGTAATGCAATTGGATAACCGTGCATTGAGTAATTACTGCTGGTATAAGTTATAAGAAATAACACACAGGGCTATGAAATCATGTCATACATGAACCCTAAGAGTCAGAGTCAAAGGATTCTGACAGTGAACACGTTGAACAGGTTGTAAATGCAACGCAAAGAGAGAGATATACAAATGAATGCCATATGGCCCCTACCCTCTACAAGCTTGTAATCTAGCATAACGGGCATTACTATTGTGTGAAATAAATGATAAATAAGTAATAAAGCTACAGGGTCGAGGCAAAAAATCATTAGAATGCCAAAAAAAAAAAAAAAAAAAAAAAAAAAAAAA